CTTCTGGTTCCCCAAGCTGTGTCCGCAGAAATTCACGTGCTTTAAAAACAGAGTCAATCTTTTCTTTTTTATCGTTAATCTTAAAAATGACATCTTCTGGGGTTAACCACCTGTAACTGATGCCATTTGTTTGTAAGAAAAGGATTAATTCGTTATAGTTCTTTCTCTTCTGTCTTATATCAAATGGAATATCTTTTAAGTGTTAACATCTTACTCAAGACATAGAGATAAAGATTGGTTGCCATATAAAGATCTAATCAAAAAAGTGGGAACAGAATGGGTAATGAAAAAGCAGAATGAAATTGAATATGATTATGAATGGCTGAAATATATGCAGATTTTTGATCTTTTTAGATCAGATAAAAGAAATTATGGTTTTAGAGAGGAAAAAAATGAAATGGAAAATGTTTGGGAGAGTGGAGGGGGAAAAATATCTCTAAAATGTATAAAGTGTTGTTAAAATGGTATACAGAAGAGGAAACGGTGAAAGAGCAAATGATAAAATGGGCAATAAATATGAATAAGGAAGTTTTGATTGAAACCTGGGAATATTTGTGGAAAAATTCTATTAAGATATCGCCTTGTACTAATGTTAGAGAGAATTGTTATAAAATGATGTATAGGTGGTATATGACTCCGAAAAAAATTGCAAATATGAACCAGAATATGTCAAACAAATGTTGGAAATGTAAGAGTCATGAAGGCTCATTTTACCATATGTGGTGGACTTGCGAGAAAGCTGTAGACTATTGGACAAAAGTCCACAAAGAAATGCAAAAAATACTGAAATGCTCTTTCAAAAAGACACCAGAAATTCTGCTTTTGGGATTAAAATGGAAGAAATCAATACGACTAAAAATACCTTATTCTGGTACTTAATTACAACTGCGAGAATGATTTATGCTCAATTTTGGAAAACAGAGAAAGTACCAGAAATTGAAGACTGGATACAAAAAGTTCTGTTCATGGCAGAAATGGATAAAATTACGAAAAAGTTGAATAACAAAGAAGATGACGTGTTTTTTGAAGAATGGAGTGACTTTAAAATATATCTGGAAAAGAACTGGGATGTGAAACAAAATTTAATATGTTTAGAGCAATATTAAGCCAAATGATGTTATCTTAAGATTCTAATCATAAGAAAATGATATAACTGATTCTAATCATAAGAAAATGATATAACTGATGATGTAAAGTAATGTGGAGTAGGGGGGGAAGCATTGCGGGAAGCCACTGGAGGGAGGGGAGGAAATGGGAATGGGGTAGACAATGGAAAGGATGAAATGGTTTATTTCTAAATGTTGAATTCCTAAGAAAAATAAAATTTGTTTACCAAAAAAAATATATATCCCTCACTATAGAAAAGCATGTATGCTCACTCAGACCAATTTCACACAAGGGCTGTGCCACGGTCGCGCCTCCCTTTGCCCCGCTTCTATTGGTCAATTTCCCACTCGAATCCGCGTGGCCACATTTTGACCCACAGCTTCACCCGATTTTCCCCGCAGTTTCGAGATCCTGTTTTTCGAAGGCAACCCTTTCCAAGACAGGCTGATTCTGCAGTCCCCAAGGGAAATTCCTCTCCACACATCACTATTATAGAAAACTGGCACATCAAGGAGAAAGCTAGGCTAGAATCTTTTGTTTCTCATTTTCTTTCTTTTTTTCCCCATCCCCCTGGGGGGAGGTTTTTATTGGTGGGGTTTTCAGACTACAAAACTACAACAGGAGATATAGGAAAGGGAACTACATCTAGGGAATAAAGAAAAAAAAGCCACAACTAACTAAAAACCCAAGAGTAGGAGATCATACATCAGCTTAACACCATGCTATTTTCAAAAAGCTACTAATAATACAATGAACTTAGTTGGTTATGCTAGATTAATTTTCATTTAACCATCCCTTTAACTGTTTAAAGAAATTCCCAGATCATCCCCAAGTTATTTCAACATTTTTTCAGACACAAATCAGAGTCCTTCAGCCTTTATTTATTCTTATCTTTTCTAATCCTCAGTAAGGGCTTTTGGGGGCAGCCATCCCCTTTTCAGAAGGGGAGTCCTCGTCCGAAGACCCCGAGCCCAACTCGCCATCAGATTTGCTTTCTTTTTCCTCCTCTTTGCCCTCTTCTGGTTCCCCAAGCTGTGTCCACAGAAATTCACGTGCTTTAAAAACAGGGTCAATATTTTCTTTTTTATCGTTAATCTTGAAAATGATACCTTCTGGGGTTAACCACCAGTAATTGATGCCATTTGTTTGTAAGAAAAGGATTAATTCTTTATAGTCTTTTCTCTTCTGTCTTATATTAAAATCCTGATATTATTGCCCCCAATTTTCAAGGGTCTTCCCGAATTTGCTTTCAAAATATCATCTCTCACAAGTCTCTTCGCCAATCTAACCACTATTTCCCCAGGCAGATTATTTTTCTTGATGTACGATGAATAGGGCCTGTAGACCACATCAATCTCACTGCAAAGGTATTCTGCTGTTAAATCTGTCATTGGGGCTATTGCTTCACTCAGCCGTTGCTTCAGATTCTCTCCTTCAATTTCCTGGACCCCTTGAAACTGTAGGACCAAATTTGCATTATCCATTTGTAGCTGTAAAAGCTTTGACTCTTCTGTAGCTTGCTTCATTTCCAGCTTTTTCACTTTTTCTTTTTTAGTAGTGACGTCCATTTCCTTCACCTTCTCTCCCATTTCATTTCTTTTTTTGCTCTGTTGCTTTTAAGGATTGAGTCAGTTGCATCCGCTGGGCTGCAACACTGCCCAATTACTGACAGTTGTTCTTTAATGCCAGTGATCTCATCCAGCAGGGG